CGCAGAAGATTGGGAGTTTACCTCTTCTAGTGCCAACCTTCATACCCTTGTGTGTCTTCCGCAATTTTACTAGTCCTGTCTTGAAGGAATGCCATAGATTTCGAAATTAAAGGCTTGCCCCAGGTTCAAATTCCGGGGGTTCCCACCACGAATGCGAATGTGTTAGTGCGAAATGGGCTGACTGAAGAAAAAGCGAAAGAATTCGTCGGAAACACTGAGGTTAAGGGCTAACTCCCCTTCGTTTGGCTGTGTTGAGGCAATGAGAGACTAAGCGTGGAGAGGAGAGTATGAGGCGAAAGAGCGGAGCGGAAGGGAGGGCTCCAGACAAAAGTTTTTATAAAAGAGAGAATTTACAACTGCATCAGCTTACTTTCCAAAGCTAGAGCGCTCCTGTCGACCGATTTCCGTGCACGGGACGCCACATTTCGATTGTCCTCTAAGGCTCCTGCAGACCTGAGGAAATTGTACACACGACTTTTTCCTGCGTAGTGTCTTCGAAAAAGACTAGGAGGACTTTCGCTTGGATAGAAATAAGCGAATGGCTCATGTATGGCACCCACCGAAATTCCGTGATACTATGTGACACTTGAGGAAAAACCCAATCGGAGTTGAGCGGTTCCTGTCGTCACTTTTAACCTTCCATTAACGTCACTCAACTTGCTATTCTTTATAAAGACATGAACTTTTCCTCCCTTCTAGTTTTCTTTGAACCGATATCCTTTCCTCTTGATCTTTTGTTCTCATTTTGGTTTTCTCTGGGTTTTTGTAACCCAATCAATTTTTTCCGATAACCAACTAATCGTCTTTGGTGGTTAACAACATGAACTCCACCCTTTACTTTGAAGAGATAGAGATATGAATTCACTGTACGAAAATGTTTCCCGTTTCCTTTTCAAATTTCATTTCCTTTTTTCTCAATACTTACTTTATACGCCCCTTTGAATCACCTCCGATATCTTCATGTGGAATTCAATCTCCAATCAATGTGTATGATCTGTGCGGAATTTCGGAGATGTACTATATCTATGACTCCGCCTCTTAGGCGGTGTTTATTTGCTGAGGTATAGGAACGGCTAGTCAACGAAAATCTCCGTCGTGCCTTCCGCCCCTTAAGTTCCGCCTTGAACAGATTGCCAAACAAAGGGATTACGTCTAGTTAAGAGGTGTCCGACCTGGAATTCCTCATTTGCAGATGAAGTTAGCAGCACGCATCGATGACGATTCCGTTCGTTTTCCAGCTTGCAATGTGAATCAGTAATCTAGGCAGGTAGAGACCTGCGTAAATAGACTTGTGAAACCTTGGTCAGTCACACTGAAACGCGAAGCGTTCAGGTTTTACAAGGATTCTTAGAGGCGTTCAGATGTATTTTCGACTTTAATGGCTTACTGGGACCTTGGTTATGCATAAACCAGCATCGTCAAAGAAATGTTAATGATCAAGCCGACCTAGGAATGAGAGGCTGCGTCACGAGAGATATTCTATCCTGCGGAGGCATGTGACGTCTTCAGCCATTATGGAACTTCCTCATATCTATAAGAGGGAAAAATTAGCAGAACAATACTGATGGAATGCCCGCGCAACCAAAGGGAGGAAATGGTGTTGTGGGTAATGGGAAGTGTTTCCTCTCAACATACGGAAGGTTCGGAGAACAAGTTCTGGATCGTTGGATCCTAAGCTTCCAGTCAGGCGTTCCACCCCCTTGGGGCCGATAAATTGGTACCACACTTGCCTGAAACGATAAAAACACTAACTAGAACTGGCTCGTGTAACTCATCGTCTTTGAGTGAAAATGGAATGCGTGGCGCATCCGAAAAATGATTTATCAACATCGAACGCTTTATGAAATCATCCTTCATACGATACCCACCAATCTCATTGGATTGGACCCATTTTCACTCAAAGCCATTGTGGCACTTGGGAGATGATTTAGCTTACACGATGGGTTGAGCGAACAATCCCACAGGCATTGGCGCACCGCAGCGTCGTGATAGCATTGACCTAAGAAATTCCAGGTCAACAGTTCTCAACCACTACCAGTCAAAGCAGCTCCAGGACCAGCGGGCACACTGCCATCATCACGAGCGCCATCTGTAGTGATGACACCAGCCGTGGTTGCCACACATGTAGCTCCTGTACCGAAAAAGAAGCGCAATCGACTTCAGGAGTGGAGAAAAAGGTTCGTGAAAGCCTCATTTATATGACAACCGGTGTATTCTAAAAAAGTCAGTTAAGGTCCCGTATTTGCATTATAGCAAAACCAACAATGTCCCCGTCCCACCCCACATGACACTTGCGAGTATGGACGCTCTAGTGTCAACGCAAGCTGCGTAACGGAATCGACGACTTTTGCGTTCTGACGCCCTTATCAGCCCTTATCAGTTGTAACCACTTTCCATCACCCACCAACAATGTCCCCGTCCCACCCCACATAACACTTGTAAGTATGGTTGCTCTGGTGTCAACGCGAGCTGGTAACGGAATCGACGACTTTTGCGTTCTGACGCCTTTATCAGCCCTTATCAGTTGCTATCGCTTCCATTCATGTACCACCAATGTCCCGGGACCACCCCACATAAAACCCACATAACACTTGAGTTATAGACCTCTTATCAGCTATTATCAGTCGTTATCAGTTCCTATCACGTACCACTTGTGTCCCCATCCCACCCCCTATAACATATGTAAGAACCACTGCGCTATCATTACTGTGACTCGAGCTATGAATTTCCGGTCAAACATACACACACACACACACACACCAACAGACACACTTAGCCGCTTATATATAGTAGGATACAGGGGAACTGTGGTGACAAGCCCTTATAAACGTGTGGAACCTCTTCTTTATGGAAATGAGAACAACCCTTAGGCAGAGGAGAAGGCACTCCAGGGTCAATGAAGAATTTTCATTTCCTTCGAAGTTCCTGTCCCCGCCCCTAAAGAACTCGGTCCTAAAGAATAGCCGTCCTATCCCAGGTTTTCCACGCTCCTAAGCTCTCCATAAGTAAGCAGTTCTTGATAACAGTACAGCCTGCTTTCTGAAGCAGGTGGTTTCCACCACTCTGTTCCTGAAGTTCAAGGGCAAAATCGTATCATCAGGTTGCTAGACGGAGTAGCGCTCCCTTCCAGTGTAGACTCCGCAGAAACGAGATGGTCTTCCTACTCCAAAAACGTAAACCCTCTCCAAAATCACGCGCCGGTCGACCGATTATCACAAGGCCTTGGAGCATGAGATCAACCACCTGGCTGTTGAATTCGTCGAGCTGCTTCAGGTTGAATCGAAAGATGGTCTCCTTCAAGCGTGATGCCAATGGCCGATGGCTTAATATTTTGAAGATGGTGAACATAATGAACCAGAGCTTGCTCATGTTCATCAAGATCATTTTAGGAATTCGCTGCCAAAATCTCGTCTACCTCGCCTTTCTGTAAAGCTTCACTGATGCGTCCTACAATTAGCGGCAAAGTTCTGTTCCTAAGCCCCCCTGTAGTGTGTAAAATATCACACTAGTGAACTTCGAAGCTCCTTGAAAGGAGACTCTAATGAACCCTAAAGGTCTGCTTTATTGCAGGTGTGGCGGCCCGTGCTTCAATATGTGTATCTTCCTTGTTGTGCTAGCGACGATTTGTGCCATCATCGCCGCCATCGTCCTCTCACAAGTGCTCAAACCTCCTAAGGTAAGCTTTCAAAAACCTTTTTGGATTCTTGAGTAGTCTTTATCTGTCTTTCTATGATGTCTTGGAAGGTGAAAAATATTGGGACAATGATGCCTTCCTGACAAGTATTTTGAACAATCAGAAAAAAGCATGACCGAAACCCCCGAGGGAAAAAGGGAAATAAGTAAATGAGAAGAAAGTTATGGGAAAAGGAATTAAAAATAAGGCTTTTAGCGCATAAATTTCTGGATTTTGTTTTTTTAACAAAGATGAGACCCATTGTATTTTCCACTTTTCAGAAACCAGAGAAAGCAGTTTGACGTGGATTGGTCCATGCAGTAACATTGCGTGCGTTCGTTGACTGTTTCGGTGCTGTAGCTTGCTAGAGGGGCTAGAGAAAATTTCTGCGTCTTACCCACAAGCGTCCGTGTACACTTAATCCGGCTCTCTTTCTTACTCCACCTATTCTAGCTCTTCTCGCAAAAAAAAAACGTTTCTGTAACAGCTACGTTCATTTGGTTTCGGAACAAAGACGAGAACCACGCGCCCCCTACTGACTCTTTCACAGCCTGTCCAAGAATACGACTGTTCAAGGAGTAGGATCTAGTGCTACTAATTCAATCGACAGCCCTTCTTTTCGCTCCTTTTTTGTTTGGCGGATATCATTCTGCGCAGCCATGCCATGAGAAAGGAGTCTACTGCTTTGGTCGATTTTTATATCCGAGACAATAATGCTACAGACCAGCACTGGAGCGCTGGAGGATTAGGCTGACCTCGATGGGCTTCGAATCCGACGGAGTACCTCCAGGGTCTTCTAAACCCACAGCGACCGCTTCCACCATAGTAACATTTTAGTTCATAAACAATTCGAGGAACCTCATCATTACAGAGTGCGCATTTCTCGTGGCAAGCTCCGGAACAATATCGAGGGGGGCAAAACAATCCTGTACGTATCGACATGAAAGCTGACAAGGACCAGGTGAGATCATGGCAAATCATTTTGAAAATTCAGAGTATTCCATGATAGTTTTGTTTCACTTCCTGTATTTTTTCAATTTGACTTGATGAGGTTTTTGTCTCAGAACATGATGCCTGTGCTGCATTGAAGTGATTATGTTCGCCAAGGAAACTCCGCCCTTCAATATATCGCCTTTTTTATAGATTCGACTGCAAATGCAAGGTGCAATGCCATTCAAAGGAAACTACATTACTTACTACGACTTCAAAACGGTAAAGCGGCGAATAACGATCCCCGAGTATAAACGGACTTCTTAAAAATTTCTGTTCAGAATCGTGTCGCCGTCATTGACGAGACGCTGAAAGCAACAGCAAGATGTGTTTCGTGATGCCACTCGACCGATCGAATTTGCGCGACGCAGACACGATGCGGCGTGCTGCCGGAAGATCAACAAATGTAAGGCATTCTTCTGAATATTCCTAGAAAAATTCGAAATTCGGATTCGAGTCCTTTTTTACGCTTCAAATAACGTATGCATTCCTACCGTAGATATTTTGCTATTACCGACCAGGGTCCCAGTACTGTTGGCACTTTTTGGAAAATTTTGCGACCACTTTTCGCGGCCTTGATACGATTCCCCCCCCCCCTCTGTAAACGTGTGTGTGTATGGAAAGGTCAACTTACTTATGGATGGAGGATAAATTCTGAGGCGCAGGAGATTTTCGCGTTACCCTTCTTCTCCAATCAAATAAAATTTCGATGAAAATTGCACCTGCCTCTTTCGAGGGCCATACCTTTCTTCAAGTTCAAAGTTGTGCGATAGGGTGAAAAGATTAGGAGAACTCAAATCATGCTCCCTCAGGAAATCGCTGAATGTTCTTTGAAAGTTTATTTAATAAAAAATTAGCATGTTGGTACTTTTCCGTGCATATGCAAGTAACCGACTTTTCCGTGCATATGCAAGTACCTTCAAACGGTCACAACTTCCCTCAATTTCATTACATTGGGAAGCTGAAGCTAGAATGACGAAATTCAGGAGACGACAAAAAGTGTAGAAATTGATAGGTTATCGATTGAAAAATCAATTCCGTCGGGACTTTTTTTTGGAGGGGCCCTTACTCAACCGTTTTTGTGAAAACGCGGGTTTTTTAGATTTAGTTGGTCGTACCTTTCTCCAAAACCTATTCCGTGAAGAATTTTGATTCTAGGAAACCACGAGTCTGCGCTTTCGAAAATTCACTGAAGCGCTTGTGGAAATCCGTTTCCTTAAAAAAATTCTTTGTAAAAAAATTTTTCCTTGAAAACTCCATCCGTCGTACTACTGTCATTTTCTTCGTTTCATTCACTCCAGAAACAGTGCATAGTCCTGCCACTGGTAACTCGAATTTAGAGCCCTTTGTACTAACAATCTCTGCCATGGTGTGCGCCGCGCCTGCGCTGTGCTTCCAATTCGCCGATGCATTTCGAAGTCCCCTGCTTAACCCGGTTACGACCCTCTCCCACCTCGCGGACCATATACGACCCCCTCGTTGGTACTTGTACCAACATACGGTTGACCCCGTTATCAACTCGTCTACCTCCCATACGCGTTGAAATTAACTACCTCCTTATTTACGAAACTGCAGCCATTTTCACAATACATAGGGATTTGCAGAAAAAACATGGGACCATTAGAAGCGAATCAACTCACCATTTTCAACAAGTCGTTCTAACTAAGGCGTGTTCCTTAGCTCATTAGCAAGATTCATTCTGCATCATTAGCTCCTGCGCGGATATCATATTATCAATATATCTATTGAATCATTGTACTTCAGTGTGTTTGTAATTTTACTATGGGCCCACTTTTCTCGACTCTATGCATCATTTGCTCTTTAAAATTTTAATTTGGCGGATTTCCGTTTTTACATGGTTTTTCTCGTATTACAGAAAGAGTCCCAAAGCAAAGGCTGGGATGAAAGTTGGCAATATCTGCCAGCTCCAATGACAACGAACGGTCAAAAAATATTCGATCCACCAATTCCCGAATGTGAAGGTGCTCGATGGGTTCAGTTGGACTACGTGGCCAGTAATCAGAAAAGTACGTACCTTGAAGCTGTCTTAATCCAGAGCTCTGCTACAATTTCCATATTTTCAGATCGAAAATGCTCTGACTGCTACGATTTCTGCTTGCCTGACTACGGTATTGAGAGAGATGTGGTGCGGGGTGAAGAATTTCTGAATATTGCCAAACGAGTTTGTTTCTATCTATTCGTGCCCAGAATGGAGGACCTACGCTCAGGCTAATACCATTGAGCAGGTACGGAGCGAGTTTGGAATGAAATAATGATAACGAGGTAATTCATGTTTACTCAACTGCTACTGAAATGGTAAAGGGGAAAAATTAGCGAAAATTACATGAAGGATAAAACAATAAATAAATTCAGACAAATCAGGTTCTGTATTATGAGCTATTGGTAGAGGCACCCTTTTACCCGTATCCAGCTCTCACTAATCTCACCGCTTCTGAATGGAACTTCAAGAGGATGGGAACTTGATGTTCGCACCGTCGTCTCATCGCGAACGAC